TTGAAAGATGGTTTTGAATGTTCGATTCACCCCGACACCCTCCGCATACAGTTGAATCGATAGCATTAAAAGAACACAGATTATCCATACTAACTCTCAAATTTAACAGCAATATAATTCAAAGATCAAATTCGCAGAAAGGTTCCAGAACTAAACTTCGCACATTTATAGACTTTTCAAACTAAGCAATAGTTTAGTATGCTGCAACGCAAACTCTAAGGCAGCGTTTACACTCTACCGTTTTCGTAGCGTTCTCGTATTGTTCAAGAGAACTAGACTATTGTCTTGCGTTCCCTTGAGGATTAAGAACAATACGAGAACCAGGGACGCCGGAACTGGGGGGGCAGGGGGGGCGGCTGCCCCCCTTGCCTTTTGCTAGGGGGGGGCAGGGGGGGCAGAAGTGCCCTTTTAGTTGTAAAATAATACGTGATAAATCACATTTCCAACGATGCTTTTTGTAGGAAAATGATGAGATTCAGGTAATTTATAGTTTATATTTATAAAAAATTTGGAAGATTTTTGGAATTTAGAAAAATATTTTGAAGAAATGGCGAAAATTTAAGATATCCGGAAAAATTTTTTGTTTCACGGAAAATTTTTGTATGTCCGGAAAAAATTTTTGACCCCTAAAATGGTACACTGACCGAAATTTTTTTGGCGACGGGGGGGGTCGCCAAAAAATTTTGCAGTGAAAAAAAATTTTTCAGTAAAGGTGCCCTTGGTGTGCGTCCGCCCCCCTTTGCCCTATTATCGTTCCGGCGTCCCTGGGAGTGGATATGCGATCTCGTACAGCAGAGGTTGGATAGTTAACTAATCACGTAGTTAACTGTGCGTGGGCTTGCGTTGGGCGTTTAAACACAAAATTACATAAAGTAAGCAGCGAGTAACGACCGCTGACAGACATTTTCAACATGATTGTAAATAGGCGGGAATTTTATTCAAAACACCAGAAAACAGTGAAAAATAAACAAGAAAACAAGGAAAAACCGCCACAAAAATCATAAAAGAATGCAGTTTTTCCTTGAGATGTCTACTTTAAAGCAAGGTCTAGCGGTTTGGCAATTATATAT